GCTAGAAACAAAAGATTTAATATTAAATTTCCTGCCAGTGGTTCTGCCACAGTCTACATAAAAATTAATTAATGGCAATTGCATCTCATGTATTTTATCTGTACCTTTAGGAAAAAAAATACAGAAATCAATCCTCATCATCTCAGACTCATGAAGGCATTTGGCCTTGTCCACCAATCCTTGCTCTTCCAGGTATCACCCTGTGGGCTAACTCTTGGTCTCTAGGTCTCCTGTTGGCTGCCTCCGTCTCCATGGCTCTTCTTGACTGATGGTTCTCTTGAACCCATGCTCTTCCAAACTGATGCACATACTGACATGACTTTGGGCTCTGTCTGCTCTTTATCAGACACTTCCCGGGTAACCCCCAGCCCTGTAGTCCTAACTACCGCCCATTTGCTGATGACAACCACATCTCTATCTGGGAGCCTAGATCATTAAACAGATTTTAACATTTATATACCAAACGTCCTACTCACCAAACCTCTTGGACCTCACAGGCCTATCATAATGAGAGTGGCTGAAAACAGAAGTCTTTATTCACCATCCCTCTACCTCATTCCTGCCCTCAGAATCTCAGGCAAATGTGAACATTCATCTCGAGCAGCTTCTGGCTTCCACCTTCTCTACCAGGAAATTCCTCACCTCCCTTACCTGGGCTCTGGCCACATTAATCCAATATCATCTCTCTACTGGTTAAGCTTCCTGTTTCAGGAGCAGACCCTGGACTTGCCCATCTTTTGACATCACTTCATACCCAAAGCCTCCTGCTTCCTATAGTTCTGCTCCCTACTTTCATGACTGTAAGGAGAACTGTGGGGGAGGTGGCACCCTGATACTCATCCTTGATCATGACTTAGTTGTCCTTTCTGCTGAGTACAGAATACCTCGAGATGAGACATTGATAATAGCAGCTTTCACACCAGTGCTGGACTTGAATGAAGGTCAACAGATAGCATAGTCAGACTCTGACCAAGTCAGGAAAATATAATTAATCTTACTACATGTTTTCATGACCAAACAATAAATAAAACAACTATTCTTATCATATATTTAGAATTTTATCCATCTCTTGATCTCTACAGAGATGGCATAAAGATGGTAAAAACATCATGATAAAAAAAAACTCATGATCAAAACTGTCACACCAAAAGACAGCATTCTTATAAGGCAAGATAGTAAATAAATATATGAGTTTCATAAAACTAGTTAGGAAAAACTACCTTTTGATAAAATTTCAAAAATTCAAAATGTAGGAGAATTAAAAAAAGCACAAACCTTTTTAATAAAACAGACCTGCCCTGAAATCACCATTGCCAATTGTTAGAGATCAGCTGTGATTTTTAAAAGTACTACATATTTTTTAAAATAAAACTAAACATAGGTGGTAACTCTAGGCAAATACACTAGGAGCCAGTGTTAAGAATATTGGGCGGGGCTGGGGATGTGGCTCAAGCGGTAGCGCGCTTGCCTGGCATGTGTGCGGCCCGGGTTCGATCCTCAGCACATACATACAAATAAAGATGTTGTGTCCACCGATAACTAAAAAATAAATATTAAAAAAAAAAAGAATATTGGGCGGGGCTGGGGATGTGGCTCAAGCGGTAGCGCGCTCGCCTGGCACGCGTGCGGCCCAGGTTCTATCCTCAGCACCACGTACAAACAATGTCCGCTGAAAACTAAAAAAATAAATATTAAAAATTCTCTCTCTCTCTCTCTCTCTCTCTCTCTCTCTCTCTCTCTCTCTTTAAAAAAAAAAGAATGTTGGGCTCTATCTAAGAAATAAGGCGGAAATCTGCCTTTTAGTGGTTGATAAACAGTCTAGAAGTAATTTGTTTTCTTTTTTAAAAGTTTTTGATTAATTAATTAATTAATTATAATTAGGTATATAAGACAGCAGAATGCATTTTGATTCACTGTACATAATTGCAGCACAACTTTTCATTTTTCTGGTTGTACATGATGTAGCATTGTACCATGTGTGCAGTCATACACATACCTAGGGTAATGATGTCCATCTCATTCCACCATTTTTCCTGCTCCCATGACCCTTTCCCACCCACACTACCTTTTGCCCCATCAAAGTTACTCTATTTTTCCTATGCCCCCCACCGATTATGGATCAGCATTCACTTATCAGAGAGAGCATTCAGGCTTTGGTTTTTGGGGACTGGCTTAATTCACTTAGCATGATATTCTCCAGCTTCATCCATTTACCAGAAAATGTCATAATTTTATTCTGTTTTAAGGCTGAGTAATATTCCATTGTGTATATGTACCATAGTTTCTTTATCTATTCATCTGTTGAAGGGCATCTAAGTTGCCTCCACAGTTTAGCTAGTGTGAATTGAGCTGCTATAAACATTGATGTGTCTGTGTTACTATAGTATGCTGATTTTAAGTCCTCTGGTATAGACTGAGGACTGGGATAACTGGGTCAAATGGTGGTTCCATTCCAAGTTTTCTAAGGAATCTCCATACTGCTTTCCAGATTGGTTACACCAATTTGCAGTCCCACTAGCAATGTATGACTGTGTCTTTCCCCCCACATCCTCGCCAGTATTTATTGTTGTCTGTATTCTTGATATCTGCTGTTCTGACTGCCATGAGATGAAATCTTAGAGTAATTTTGATTTATATTTCTCTAATTACTAGGTATAAGAAAGCAAATACAAGCAATCATTGATCACACAAACAAAGAAATAAGGGAGCAAATACAGGTAGCAAAAGATTGCTTCAAGAAAGAGATAGAGATTCTGAAATAAAATCCAATCAGAAATCTTTTAAATGAAGGAAACAATAAACCAAACAAAAAACTCAGTAGAAAGCATCACCAACAGACTAGATCACTTGGAAGACAGAAGGTCAGATAATGAAGACAAAGTATACAATTTGGAAAATAAAGTTGATAACACGGTGAAGATGGCTAAGAAACCATGAAAGAACATGCAAGAATTATAGGATAGCATCAAAAGACTAAATGTAAGAATTATTGGGATAAAAGAAAGCACAGAGATTCAAACCAATGGAATGCACAATCTCTTCAATGAAATAATATCAGAAAATTTCCAAAACATTGGGCTGGAGCTGTGGCTCAGTGGCAGAAAACTTGCCTAACATGTGTAAGGCACTGGGTTCAATTCTTAACACTGCATACAAAAATAAATAAAAGAAAGACATGCTGTTCACCTACAACTACAAAAAAGAAAAAGAAAGAAAATTTCCCAGCCATGAAGAATGAATTGGAAAATCAAATACCAGAGGCTTATAGGACACGGAATGTACAAAATTACAACAGATCTACACTAAGTCACATTATAATGAAAATGCCTAGCATACAAATTAAGGATAGAATGTTAAAGGCCACAAGAAAGAGGAATCAGATCACACATAGAGAGAGACAGACCAATTTGTATCTCAGCAGATTTTTCAACCTAGACCCTCGAAGCCAGGAGATCCTGGAACAACATATACCCTCTGGAAGAAAATGGATGCCAACCAAGAATATCCAGCACAATTAAGCTTCAGATTTGATGATGAAATAAAAAACCTTTCATGATTTGTTTTCTTAATGTAAACACACTCTAAGTGACTTTTCGTCCTTCTAATTACAGCCAGATGGAGGAAAAGATTTTGGAATTGTGGGATTTGCTATTTCAGAAATAAGCACATGCAAAAATAAGAACATTAAGGCATTCCAGTCATTTACCCTAAAGATAAATAAGCTGCTTTGGCTGAGGGTAGAGGGTATTTACCATCAGGGATGTTGCCTAGAAGGCTACATGGTATAGGGCCTACTTTAAACTACTGTTGTTATTGTTTCTGCAAAAGGATGCTCAGCTGGAATTTTCAGGTATAGCAAAATAGACACCAAAATCCAAAGTGGGGAGTGAAATCAGGACTTACAAATTCACAAATATATACGTACAGTCCTGCATGGCACCACAATGGTCAACAATGAACCATTATACACCAGTAGTCCCATAAGATTGCATCCCCTGCTAACAGTAACCTCATAACCATGAGTGCATTGTACAATTTTCCCAAGACAGCTAAACTGGCTAACAGTGCACATCCCAGAAAGCACCCTTGCTGTTCAGGAACACATGGCTGTATTTAAATCCATTACCCTTACAGAGGTGTAAAACATCTAGAGATTATTTGGATAAGTTGTTGGCATGTTGTGACTCTCACATACCCTTCTCTACAGGGAAGGGTGTGTGTGCAGGCTTCTCAGAGAAAAGGGCTTTCATAGAACCACCCAGAGAGCTTTGCATGGCCCCTTAGAGCTTTAGGTTGAGATTGTGTCTGCATCGTACATGAGAAATCTAATGGTAAGAGGAAAGCTAAAGAGCTCTGCAGCCTAGGATGGACAGGAAATTTGGGAAGAAACTGCTCTACCCAAATCAGGTGGGGCAGAAGACAACTGAGTATTCTCCCAGGGACTTGATGAGTGTCAGAAGAGAGAGAGGCATACTGGGCTCATTAGATCTTTCCCAAGACCAGCACAGGCCATCAGATGGCATTTTAGAACTTCTGTTTGATGGTTATGGGAAACGGGGAATTTTACTTCCTGAATGTGAAGGAGTCTTCTTAGACTCTGGATTTCCAATGTGAAATCGACAGAAAGAGGAAAATAAAGCAGGAAGACCAACAGGAAAATGGAGCATGAAATCCACCCCTGATCTGGACTTTTTGGTTATGTTAGTCAGTTGACCATTGCACTGCCAAGCTACTTTGACTAAGTTTTCTGGTGACACTTCATTTTTTGATTCTTTTCAAATGATCTGGGAGAAAAATCTGCATTTTAAACTTGTCCTAAGCTAAAATGATCCAAAATCAGGCAAATGCAAAACAGTCTGGATAACAACTTCAGCAGGTTCTTCTTAGGGTGAACTCTATCCCTGGAGAAGATGTGGCCTCTAAATCAAAATGAGACATAAATTGAAAATGGACTTCTTTGGCTGGAAGGTAAGAAACAAGGACAGTCAATCATGTGTTACCTGGTAATGAACTCTCTGGGAATCAGAAGAAACTGACTGCAAGTCCTAATGAGAAAGTGGGAGAAAAAAAATCCATACCTTAAAATTAGTTTGAACAAGCTGCTCCATAATTCTATCAACTGAAACTCCCAATTTAATGTGAAAATGCTCATCTGGAAAGCATCTAGCCCACTCATATTCATCAAAGTTAAACAAGGAAGGGAATGGCAGAAATAATAAAAACATACCAACTTGGATAGAGAGAAAACAGGTCATTTGTCTAGTGAAACTTATAATTCCTAATGTTTAGAGTTAAGCAACATATTATAATTTCAAGGATAGAGAAGACCACAGTAAAGAACAGGCAAACTTATTGTAATAAATGGGGATCATGTTTCATTAGCATTTGAATTTTTTGGTTTTAAAAGAAATCTTCTGAGGCTGGGCATATAGCTCTGTGGGACAGCACTTCCGTAGCATGGCAGAGGCCTTGGGTTCAATGCCCAGTCCCTCTGGCTCTGTGTCTCTGTGTCTCTCTCTCCCTCCCTGTCTCCATGCACCCTCCATGCATCCATCCTCTCTCTCTCTCTCTCTCTCTCACACACACACACACACACACACACACACACACAGAGAGAGAGAGAGAGAGAGAGAGAGAGAGAGAGAGAGAGAAGGCTCTTCTGGAGTCCTTTTATACACAAAGAATTTCTTTCTCTTACATTAAATACATGATGGTAGTTGTGTATATATTGATAAATTGCCTGATAAACTGGGTTTTTGTAAACCTCAAAGAGAAAATCACTGACCACCTTCACATTATCACAGAGTGCATATTAGCAGGGTTGCAATGGAGGTTTTACTGGCAGATTCTGAAAGCCTGCTTCCCTGCATAAAATTTTGTAACTAAGTTGTCACCACTACCATATCCCCCAGGCTCAGACGTCAGCATCCTGGGTCCTTTTGTCCCTATGTTTGCTTCCCACAAGGTTTCATCATCTTACCTCACACACAAACTTCTGTGCTCAAGTTTGTTTCAAAACCATTCCTCTTTATCTCTTGAGCTTACTTCCTTTTTATTTAGAATTCCCTATTAGTTGAATATTGGCACACTTATCACACCAATAAGCTAGTTTTAAACAAAGTCAGTTTATTAATCATGTGCTTTCCTACTGTGAAGTCTTGTTAACAAAATTACTAGAGTGCTAAATATTAAAAAAAAAGAAGAAGAAAAAGTTTGGTACCTATTATGATTCAGTTTTTATGATTCAATTTTTTACGCAATGTCAAGTGACATTACATTTGTCGAATGAAATACTATATCTAGGTTTGAGGAATACAGATTCTGACCTGAGCTACATGCTAAAAAGTTCACAAATTTGAACTTATTTAAGTCAATCAAATTATCTACAGGAAGCCACAAGTATAAAATTTGTCCACACCTTTTATCTTAAGCATATCAGTATTAAAAATTAGACAATTATCTCTAAAAAATTTTGCATTCATAATTCCATCTCAATTCTTAACAGTGATAACGAAAAAAATTACTAATTTTTACATCAATGTATTCCTCCTATCTAAACTTATTTCTTCCAAGAGAAATAAAATCTAATGTTCATAGTTAAGTGCTTTCAACTTAAAGATATTTTAAACACTGTATATCTGCTTTCTGACATTTACATGTGTGCAGTGTGTTGTGTTGGACAGAGTTGTTCATCTAGGAGTATCCATCAGAATCATGCAACTGCTAAGAATACAAATCTCTTAGACCCACCTGAAAAAGTGACTCTAATGAGTATCTTTTACCAAGAAACAATGATAAAGAAATGGCTGTTTATGTTTCTGCTTTTTGCAGAATGGAGACAGTTTACACACCCCTCCTCAAAAGTTTTTAAGAACAACCAGGAAAAATTATAATGATAAGTGTGGGTGTCGTGCTATTCAAATAAATGGGACTGTCATATAGAAAATCTTTTTCTTTTTGTTTCTCCATGGCAAGACCAGATTGAGGGAGAAAAATTATAATAATACATAGATTATTCCTTTGTGCTTTGACAAAACTTCATGAATTATACAAGGTTTTTTTTTTCCTGCAGAAGTTTTATTTTTTAAATCACAGTCCCTGACAAAAGTCTATATTAGATACAAAACATTAAATAACCCCAAATCTGTTTTTTTTTATTACTTATCAGTGCCATCTGAAATCCTTTAAAGCTAAAAAATACAGGTATGTAGCTTGGCAAGAAGACAGAAGTTCCAAGCCACAAGCTGTGGAATGCACTAGAGAAACAGGACCCTGAGGCACCTGACCAATCCTTTCCCATTTTAACCACCAGAGGAGGGAGACAGCCATGGGGTAGGGAGGAAGACACTTAGTATAGACTTAAGGGACAAGTCTACCACATTCCCAATTCCTCCCCAAATGTGCCACTTAAGAAGCACTGGTAGTCAGTTATGGAAATGGAAAGCTAAGGAGAATAAATAATTGGCTAAATAAACTCACCTCCTGTAGGCGGTCTATGTACATACGGCAAGTCTCCAGATCACAGTCTCCACGCACAACTAGAATACCCAGAGGAATGGCTGAGAGTGAAGGAAAAAGAAAAATCTAAAATAACATATTTGATTTTTCTAGATTGGCACATATGTGTTTCTCATGGTTAAAAAATAATCTCATAAATATTATGGGATTTTTGGATATGTCCATACAGAGAAATAATCACCCTGTCCCTATACCTCTCTTTTGATTTTGGACTCTTTTTGCCTGCAATTATCATACACTGTCCTTGAATGATCCATGTTGTCCCTTGCCTTCATCTGGCATTCATCTCACTTTATCTCAGTGGCTCTGGTTTGAAGTGTAACATCACAGTATCAATGAATAGACGGGTAGAACACAGAGGCTGCTCACAGATAGCTGATAATATATGCATGCATTTGCAATAGGCAGCCTGAGGACACAGCCCTCAGAGGAAATTCACGATTCTGGACACTTACCCTTTCCCCTCCTGAATGCACATGGTTTAAAGTTTTTGTTGGTTTACAACAGTTTTCTAACTATGAGCCTTAAGCCATTCAAGGTATTGTTGCTACCTGGTGGCCAACAACAGAAATAAAGACATAAAAAAGAAGGAGGAAGAGGAGGAAGAAAAGGAAAAGAAGAAGAAAGCTTTTAGAAGGTGCTTGGCTTAAAACCCAACCAAGTTTAAAAGAGGCTTAGGGTAAGTGAGGTAATAGCTGGACCTCAGGGAACAATAAGGAGAAGCCAAATTATGCACCTTTTAACATACCCTATTTAGGTAGTGGCACACAACACACAGCGGCTTCCATGGATAGAAATTTCTACTTCAGATATAAACCTAACATTCCTGAAATACTGAAATCTGGTCTCCTTCCTACAGCTAAAAACCATGTGTTTATTTCTTACTTTAATAGTGCAGTTATTATGCCAGGCGTGGTGGCACAAGTCTATCATCCCACTGACTCTGGAGGTTGAGACAGAAAGATTGCAAGTTCAACGCCAGGATCACCAACTTAGCAGGCCGTAAACAACTTAGCAAAACCCTATCACAAAATAGAAAATAAAAAAGGCTGAGAATGTGGCTCAGTGGTTAAGCATCTCTGGGTTCAATTCACAGTAAAATTAAATGAAATTTAATTTAAAAAGTGCAGTTACACTATTAAAATTCATGATGTAACAAAAATTCAAAATATTGAATTATCCAATTTGACACTAGCAACTAGAAGATATAAGAGTAGTATTCACTAAGAATTTTTAAAAACCTTTTATGGATTGAATTTATTTTAAAATCTTCATCATCAATAAATAGGTTTGAAAATACAAAAGGCTAGGGTTTTTTAAAATGCACAGAATAAGATATACTTAAAAGTGCATGAAAACAGTTTGAGGAAATCCTGAAATAGTAAAGAGGCCATACACTTAATCAAATAGTAACAAATGCAACATAGGTCATATTAAATGTATGAACTTAATCACTTGAAAACTATAGAGAAGAGGGACTAATTCTCACTAGGCACAGATTTGGAGCTCACTGAAGGATAGGGAGCCCCATTTACTCTTTCGGCTAGTGAAGCAAGGGTGTTCTAGAGAAAAAGAAACAGTTTCATGCTCAACATACTTATAGATTAGTTTCCACCAAGGAAACCAAATCAATTCCACCACCCCACTCCTTTAAGTTCCTGAAGTCCTGCATACATAAATCTTTAAAACATCTACTACTTTGTTGACCTATGGAAGCCTGTGAGTATGGATTCTCTCACATCAAGGATAAAGCCTATTTGCCTTCGATTCTTCATTGCCTAGCAGAGAAAAGGCAGATATTCAATAAATGCTTGTTAAAAGAAGAAGGAAGACAGATTTAGGGCCTGCCCAAAGATGAAAGAGAAAGTGGGTCTTTGCAGAGCAAGCTGATTTTCCAGGGAAGGGCACTTCTGCTAGAAACAGAAGTAGAGGATGTGCATCAGGCAGGAGCTTGCTTTGCCTACTCTTGGAGAAGCCAGGCAAGAGAGTTATTAAGCAGAAGGTATGGAATCCTCAAAGCGCCATACATTTGAGGGAATAATAATCTGGAAGAATATATTTCCTTTTTTTTTGAAGATAAACAGAAGCCTCAAAAAGTTTTAGGATGAACCATGCATCTTGAAAGACAATGGAATGTAAATCCAATAAGGGATCCCTTAAAACTACTGATTCATCAAGCCCAGTTACACTACTAAGTAGAATGAAATAAGGTGATCCACTAAGGTTAAAGTAAAATAAGGATTTATAATACTTAAAGAATAATATTGAAAAGCTAGAATTTTGGCTTAACTGGCAAACCAAAGGTTGTGGAAAAGAAATATATATATATATGGCAATAACTTACATGACAGTATACATTGGAATCTTGTTGAATGATACTTTCTCTTAATTTCAGTTGAAAAAAATGTAGAAGAATGGATTTTAATTGATACTTACCTATTAAATTGGGGGATTCATTTTCTAGAAATGAAGCAATAATCCTATCATGACTTCTGATATCCTTCTATTACTAGTACTTACATTCATCTCATCCAAATATAAATTTAATGTACCCAGTTGCAGATACTTTTGTTTGTTTTTTTTAGATATATCTATCTTGTATTTCTTTCTTTCTTTATTTATATATGACAGCGGAATGTATTACAAATCTTATTACATATATAGAGTACAATTTTTCATATCTCTGGTTGTATACATAGTATATTGACACCAATTTGTGTCTTCATACCTATACTTTGGATAATAATGATTATCATATTCCACCATCATTAACTATCCCATACCCCCTTCCTTCCCCTCCAACTCCTATGCTCTATCTAGAGTTTGTCTATTCCTTCCATGCTCCCACTCCCTATCCCACTATAAATCAGCCTCCTTATATCAACAAAAACATTTGGCATTTGTTTTTTGGGGATTGGCTAACTTCACTTAGCATTATGTACTCTAACTCCATCCATTTACCTGCAAATGCCATGATTTCATTCTCTTTTATTGATGAGTAATATTCCATTGTGTATATATGCCACATTTTTTTATCCATTCATCTATTGAAGGGCATCTAGGTTGGTTCCACAGTTTAGCTATTGTAAATTATGCATCTATAAATATTGATGTGGCTGTGTCCCTGTAGTATGCTGTTTTTAAGTCCTTTGGGTATAGACCGAGGAGAGGAATAGCTGGGTCAAATGGTGGTTCCATTCCCAATTTTCCAAGAAATCTCCATACTGCTTTCCATATTGGCTGCACCAATTTGTAGTCTCCTCAGCAGTGTATGAGTTTTCCCCCACATCCTCACCAACACTTGTTGTTTTAATGTGTAATAGCTGCCATTCTGACTGGAGTGAGATGAAATCTTAGAATGGTTTTGATTTGCATTTCTCTAATCAACAAATACATGAAAAAATGTTCATCATCAGATATTTTAAACTACAATTAGAGACTGGATATTCAAGATCTGGAATCAAAAAAAAAATAGCAAGAAAAAAAGTTTTAAGAGATGTTTCATTCACTTCTACCATATGTATAAAATTAACTACTTTGTCTAGTCCTCAAGTAGCTAATAAGTAAAAGTAACTGTTTTGGACTAAATGATACTTATCTGTAATTGGATTTTTTAAAAGCCACTTGTATCACAAATTCCTAATATGATGACCATCTACTGGGAAATTCATGCTAAGAGAACAGCAGCAGGCAGTAGAAAGGATTCATCATCCTTCTCTTCTTGATTTAAACCCCAGCCCTGCTTTGGTCTTGAACATTCATTGCTCAAGTTAGCTCTTTGTTCTTGCAAGTTACTCAATTCTTCTGAGCCCTGGTTTGAAGACTATGGTGTTTAGAATAGGTATCTGGCAGGATTTTATGAAGCTTGACTCCACACTACACTTAAAATAAAATTACCAAAACACCAATACTAATTCTCCTCCACTCCCTTCACTATCTTTTGGGCATGTTTTATTATAAATTGGATATACCCAAGCATCAACATTTTAATATATCATAATGAGATGAGGACCTGTGGATAGTAATTCCATAAATTATACTCATATTTACTTAAAAGTAATTTCTACTTTCTTCAATGGGAAAGTATTTTTGTAACACAAAACTATTGTAATCTGGCTCTTCCATTTGGAGCACTGTATGGTAAAGAGAAAGCAGAAACTTGTGAAAAACACCACCTCCAGTTGATAGTATGGATAACCAAATGCCAAATTTTGAAGCATTTTCTTCAATTTTAATTAAGAGTAGTGAGAGTGCTTAGGACCTGATCATGGTGCTACCACCATGGTCTCCACAACTCATCTTAGTGTGGTGTTGGAGACTCTGGCTCCAATAAGCATCAGCCAGTTCTCAGCTTACGCAATGGAAGAGGGATCAAATGCAATGCACAGGTTCTAACTAAGCAAAACAAACAAAAAACCCAACCTGGTTTCTAGAGTATGAGCATATTTAACGCACACATTTCCCTCTCACTAGAAATCCTACTGAACTCCGATAAAGGAATTTTAAAAGGATATAAACCAATAAAAATGAACAGGAATGGTAAAGAGAAAATAGAAACAGATGAAGCAGAAGAAAAATTGGTGACTGACCCAGAGTCCTACAGAGTCCAGTCCTAAACCACAGGTGGAGATGGAGGAGAATAATCACAATTTACACTTCAAAACCCTCAAAAGCCTTACAAACTGGCAGCACCAGGTACATCAGGAGCTAAAGTTAAATAGGACATCTAAAATAGGAGCACAGGATGGGGCAAGACTCCATCCCCACCACCCATCCAGATGACAGATATATTAGGTTACCAAATAATTGGAGCACTGTGATTCCAGATACAGATGTGCAGAAAGCAGTCACCATTAAGATTCTCATAGTCTTTAAATGACTATTTTCCAAACAAAGTCAGAATGCCTAGGAAAACCTGAACCAGTTTTGTGTGTGTGTGTGTGTGTGTGTGTGTGTGTGTGTAAATACATGAAATGCTCTTCCTTAACCTTATCAAGAGCAAGAGGTAGATCACAGAAAAACAGACATATTCAATGACATT